CATACCATCCAGTTTGTGGACTGGTGCCCCACTGGCTTCAAAGTTGGCATTAATTACTAGCCTCTCACTGTGGTACCTGGTGGAGACCTGGTCAAAGTACAGCGAGCTGTGTGCGTGCCGAGCAAAACCACAGCCATCGCTGAGGTCTGGGCTCGCCTGGACCACAAGTTTGACCTGATGTATGCCGAGCGTGCCTTTGTTCACTGGTACGTGGGTGAGGACATGGAGGAAGGAGAGTGTTCTGAGGCCCGTGGGGATATGGCTGTCCTTGAGAAGGATTGTGAGGGGGCTGGAGCTGATAGCGCTGAGGGAGAAGATGCGGGTGAAGAATATTAACCTGTCTGCTGTAATTTTATACTCTTGTCTTGGGACTGCTGATTTGTGTTCTGTGGAGCTGCCCATGGTGGCCCCATCTTGTCAATAAAAGTGAGATTTCTATTTTCAATGTCAAAAAAAAAAAAAAAGTCCATTGCACAAGGACACACAGCCCGTCATTAGCGTAGCTGGGATCACTCAACCAAAGAGGACTTATGAGACCTACTGTGTGCCTAGCACTGGCCTAAGCTCATCACACACTTTATCTAGTACTAGTCTGGTAATGTGGGCATAATTAAGACCCCAGAAGGGGTCTTATAACACCCGAGTTCGCATGGCTGGGGAGTGGCAGAGTCAAAATGAGAACCCATTTCTGTTTAATGCCAAAGCTTGAGCAAAAAAGTACAGTAGATCATAGGGTATGGGGGGGGGAGGGGCAGAGCCCCGCTTAGAACAGAAGTCTATGGAGTCATACCCTTTATAGCAGTTTCCCGATAGCCCCGTTCAGGCTGGGAGCTACAGCACTAAGCAGGGAACTGAGGCATCTCAGCCATACAGACTGGACAAGCTGAGCAACCATTCATACTGGAATTCAACAAATACTACAGTTTATTCCAGGACCCGTGGGCTGGTGGGCTGGGCCGTCTCAGGGACGGAATGGTGCTTCAAGCTGAGAGGGACGCGAGGGGGACAATGATGTTTTCTGCACATCCTTGAGGAAAGTTGACTTTTGGGGGGAAAACACATTCCTACGCCAGAGTTTCCCAATGTGTTTCCTGAAACGTTAGTTTCAAAAAAGAGGAAAAAGGAAATTCTATAGTGAAACAAGTTTGAGAAATGTCATAGCCCCTCTCTCTTTTTTTTTTTTATAAATTTATTTATTTATTTATTTTATTTTTGGCTGTGTTGGGTCTTCGTTTCTGTGCGAGGGCTTTCTCCAGTTGCAGCGAGCGGGGGCCCCTCTTCATCGCGGTGCGCGGGCCTCTCACTGTCACGGCCTCTTCCGTTGAGGAGCACAGGCTCCAGACGCGCACATAGCCCCTCTCTTCCTCTTGGATTTAGAGTCTTCAGTATATGAAAGGCTCTGATAAGTCCTGTAGCAGAGGACTCTGTTCCATTTTATTTAATCTGGAATTTCCTGAAAAGACCTGATCGGGGCATTTCTCTCTTGTTTCTTTTCCAAATAATTTTTTCGGTACTAATTTTCATTAAGACCTTTTGAAAAATGCAGGAATTGCAAGAATTTGGAGGCCACAGTGTTTCTTAAAATTCTCCCTTTTCCTCATTTTCAGCAAAACTAAGCCTTCAGTTTTGGCTCAGGAAATGGAAGCAGGATTTCCGGGGCCTCTACCAGCATGGAGGCCAGCGGAGCAGCATTCTTAGTACTTCATGTACAATTTTTTTTTTTTTTAACAGATCTTTATTGGAGTCGAATTGCTTCCTTCTATATGAACAGAGCCTCAGGAGTTATGTGAGGCAGCGGCCCTGGGCAGCATTTATCATCAAAAAGAGGTGTGGGAAGCAGCCACATAGCACAGGGATATCAGCTCGGTGCTTTGTGACCACCTAGAGGGGTGGGATAGGGAGGGTGGGAGGGAGACACAAGAGGGAGGAGATATGGGGATATAAGTATATGTATAGCTGATTCACTTTGTTATACAGCAGAAACCAACACACCATTGTAAAGCAATTATACCCCAATAAAGATGTTAAATAAAAAAATAAAAGAGGTGTCCTGAGAGAGCCCCCTTAGCTCTGGGACCTTTGTGCATTTCCTGTACTGCCTTGCCAGGGGACATTGTCTAATAGTAGGTACACGTGAAACCCCATTTAGCACTTGCCTCTTGAGCCACAGGAAATGCAGCTGAGACCAAGCTCCCTCTCCCCGTGCAGAAAGGGGATCGTCTGCCTCTCAAACCAGCCACAGAAGCAACATTGACTGAGTGTTACACACAGGGGGCCAGGCAGGTCCTGCTGCCCTCACCTACTCTCCTGACAGCTCTTCCAGGGCTGGAAGTCCTCACTGTCAGAGTCACCTTTTGGTCCACGGATGCTTTCCAGGCTGCGAGCCTCTTTGTTCCTAAGAAGAAAGACGCTCTTGGGGCACACGGCCTCTGAAAACCCAAGGGTGATGCTACTTAAGCTGTGGCCCAAAGAATTAATACACAGGATGTGACGAATGTTGCAAGAACAAAACCAGTTGCGTGCTAACATAAGTTCAGGCAAGTCGACATCCCCTGTGGAAAATCACAGAGCCCAGTACAGACCTGAGTAGCCATGAAGGAGAAAGGCTTTGACTGGCCTGCGAGTAGAGCAGTCATTTATATTCACCAGGAATGGGAAATGCCCAGCATGGGAGATTTGGTGAACGATCTGTTAAGAACCAGGCTTACAGGAATGCACCACGGGGACAGGGAGAAAGGTGTGCCAAGTGCACGACCACGTGCACTCAGACGTCAGACAGCTAAGAGTTCAAGTCTTCCTCCCCAAGTTAGAACAATGCAGCCTTAGGCAAGTTACTGAAACCTCCCTGGCATCAAATTCCTCACCCCTAAAGTAGGAATCATAACAGCTCCTCTCACAGGTGGTTTTTGTGAGGATTGAAGATGAGTGCACGAGGCAAGTGCTCAGTGAACAGCTGTAGCCATCGTTACTGTGGTTGTTATTGTTTTTTTGTTATTGTTTATGGAGATGGAACAGAGGGGTAGCAAGAAGTGGGGGGGAATCATGAAAGGCGGGGAGGGAAAAGGCCAAAGACACAGGCAGACCTCGGAGATATTCGGGTTGGGTTCCAGATCATTGGAGCAAAGCCTGTATCGCGAAATAAAGTCAACATTGCAATAAAGTGAGTCACACACATTGTTTGCTTTGCCAGCGCATATAAAAGTTATGTTTACACTATACCATAGTCTATTACGTGTGCAATAGCATTATGTCTTTAAAAATGTGTACGTTAGTTAAAAAATAACTTATTGCTTAAAAATGCTAACCATCATCTGAGCCTTCAGAGAGTCATGGTAGTAACATCAGAGATCACTGATCACACCTCAGTGCTTGGTGACCACCTAGAGGGGTGGGATAGGGAGGGTGGGAGGGAGGGAGACGCAAGAGGGAAGAGATATGGGAACATATGTATATGTATAACTGAGTCACTTTGTTATAAAGCAGAAACTAACACACCATTGTAAAGCAATTGTACCCCAATAAAGATGTTAAAAAAAAAAAAAAAAAGCATGAAGAAGTTTGAAACTTTGGGAGAATCACCAAAATGTGACACAAAGACACGAAATGAGCAAGTGCTGTTAGAAAAATGGCACCGATAGACACACTTGATGCGGGGTTGCCACAAACCTTCAATTTGTTAAAAAAAAAAAAAAAGGAAAATCGGCAAAGCGCAATAAAACGAGGTGCACTTGCACATTCTGATACCTTCATCACAGTGTGCTGCAACCTCAGAGCTGGAAGAGCCTTCCCTTGCCTACAGAGTTGTAATAACTGAAGTCCAGAAGCACGAAGAGACTTTCCCCCAATCATACAGTGTGTTAGTGTCAAGCCAAGAAATCATTCATTCCCCAAATATTCACTGAGCACCTACTCCACTAGGCGGAGGCAATTTGCATAATTCAGGAAACATGCAACACACACCAGAAATCTCAGGCTTGGAATTTACCTTATAGAAATATTTGCAAAATGTTTTCAAGATAAATATGTTTTTTTTCTTTTTTTAACATCTTTATTGGAGTATAATTGCTTTACAATAGTGTGTTAGTTGCTGCTGTATAACAAAGTGAATCAGCTGTACGTATACATATATCCCCGACCTCTTGCGTCTCCCTCCCACCCTCCCTATCCCACCCCTCTAGGTGGTCACAAAGCACCGAGCTGATCTCCCTGTGCTATGCGGCTGCTTCCCACTAGCTGTCTATTTTACATTTGGTTGTATATATATGCCCACGCCACTCTCTCACTTCATCCCAGCTTACCCTTCCCCCTCCCCACGTCCTCAAGTCCATTCTCTATGTCTGTGTCTTTATTCCTGTCCTGCCCCTAGGTTCTTCAGAACCTTTTTTTTTTTGATTCCATATATATGTGTTAGCATATAGTATTTATTTTTCTCTTTCTGACTTACTTCAATCTGTATGAAGTCTTTAGGTCCATCCATCTCACAACAAATAACTCAATTTCGTTTCTCTTTATGGCTGAGTAACATTCCATTGTATATATGTGCCACATCTTCTTTATCCATTCATCTGTCAATGGACACTTAGGTTGCTTCCATGTCCTGGCTATTGTAAATAGTGCTGCAATGAATATTGTGGTACATGACTCTTTTTGAATTATGGTTTTCTCAGGGTATATGCCCAATAGTGGGATTGCTGGGTCATATGGTAGTTCTATTTTCAGTATTTTGAGGAACCTCCATACTGTTCTCCATAGTGGCTGTATCAATTTACATTCCCACCAGCAATGCAAGAGGGTTCCCTTTTCTCCACACCCTCTCCAGCATTTATTGTTTGTAGAGTTTTTGATGATGGCCGTTCTGACTGGTGTGAGGTGATACCTCATTGTAGTTTTGATTTGCATTTCTCTAATGATTAGTGATGTTGAGCATCCTTTCATGTGTTTGTTGGCAATCTGTGTATCTTCTTGGGAGAAATATCTATCAAGGTAAATATGGCCTTTTCTTGCTCTCCGGCCATCTTGGCGGCTGCAGTGGGCTGGGGGTGTCCCGCACCTAAGGCAGGAAGATGGTGGCCGCAAAGAAGATGAAAATGTCACTGGAGTCGATCAACTCTAGGCTCCAACTGGTTGTGAAAAGTGGAAAGTACGTGCTGGGGTACAAGCGGACTCTGAAAATAATCCGGCATGGCAAAGCGAAACTGGTCATCCTTGCCAACAACTGCCCAGCCTTGAGGAAATCTGAAATAGAGTATTATGCCATGTTGGCCAAAACTGGTGTCCATCACTACAGTGGCAATAATATTGAATTGGGCACAGCGTGTGGAAAATACTACAGAGTATGGACACTTGCTATCATTGATCCAGGTGATTCTGATATCATTAGAAGCATGTTGGAACAGGCTGGTGTAAAGTAACTCATGTACAATTTTTCTTTAATAAAACTGGCCGGAGCTTGTTTTAAAAAAAGAAAGATAAAGATGTTTTTCAAAGGGACATAATAAACTATGCATGTGTCTACTTATTTGAGCAGAAGGAATACAGTAAGAATAAACCAGAAGCTAATGGGCTTGGTTATCTGCAGGGGGTAGGTGTGAACAAGGCAGAAAGAAAGGGAAACGAAGACAGGGTGGAGAAGAGAAAGACCATTGGAATTTCTCTGACTTTTTGTGTAGCTCTGACTCATAGAGCTATGACAATATTTCACATACCCCAAAGCTGACTAAATAAATAGATGCAACCAGGATGCAGGGGAAACACCCAAAGTTATTCAAACAGTAACAGATGAACCCAACAGTATGACAAATGAATAACATCACCACACTGAAAGCAATAGGGAAGAAAACAACTAACTGAAGCAACTTTAGGAAACAATTGTTTTGACTGGCTCTAGACATTTACATTCCCACCAACAGGGCACAAGGGTTCCCTTTTCTCTACACCCTCACCAACACTTCTATTTTGTTGTTTTTTTGATAATAGCCATTCTGACAGATGTGAGGTGACATCTCATTGTGGTTTTGATTTTCACTTCCCGATGATTAGTGATCTCGAGCAACTTCTCATGTGCCTGTTGCCTATCTGTATGTCTTTTTTTGGAAAAATGTCTTTTCAGATCCTCTACCCATTATTTTATTTTATTTAGTATTTATTTATTTGGCTGCATTGGGTCTTAGTTGCAGCACATGGGATCTTTCGTTGCTATGCGCAGGCTTCTCTCTAGTTGTGGCACGTGGTCTCCAGGGCGCGTGGGCTCTGTAGGTTGCGGTACACGGGCTCTAGTTGAAGCGCGTGAGCTCAGTAGTTGTGACGCGCGGGCTTCGTTGCCCCGTGGCACGTGGGATCTTAGTTCCCGGACCAGGGATCGAACCCACATCCCCTGCATTGGGATGCAGATTCTTAACCACTGGACCCCCGGGGAAGTCCCGGGTTGTTTGTTTTTTTTTGATGTTGAGTTGTATGAGTTCTTTGTATATTTTAGATATTAAACCCTTATAAGATATATCATTTGCAAATATCTTCTCCCATTCAGTAGGCTGTGTTTTTGTTTTGTTGATAGTTTCCTTCAATGTACAAAAGCTTTTTAGTTTGATGTAGTATTTGTTCTTGTTCTGTGGAAGAATGCCTTTGGCATTTTGACAGGGATTGCGTTGAATCTGTAGATTGCCTTCGGTAGTTTGGTCATTTAAACAATATTAATTCTTTCAATCCATGAGCACAATCTATCTTTCCATCTACTGTATTTGTGTCATCTTATAGTTTTCCAAGTACAAGTCCTTTATCTCCTTAGTTAGATTTATTCCTACGTATTTTACTCTTTCTGATGCAATTATAAATGGGATTGTGTTCTTAATTTCTATTTCTGATAGTTTATTAGTACATAGAAATGTAACAGATTTCTGTATATTAATTTTGTATCCTGCAACTTCATTGAATTCATTGGTGGTTCTAGTGGTCTTTTGGTGGCATCTTTAGGATTTTCTTTGTATAGTATCATGTCATCTGCAAATAGTGACAGTTTTATTTTTCTTTCCAATTTGAATTCCTTTTATTTCTCTTTCTTGTCTGATTGTGGTGGCTAGGACTTCCAACACTACGTTGAATAAAAGTGGCAAAGAGTTTTTTCTCTTTGCATTTCAATTTGGGATGTTTCTATTGACATATTTTCAAGCTCACTGACTCTTTCTTTGGCTATGTCTAGTCTACTAATGAACCTATCAAAAACATTCTTCTTTTTTGTTAGTGGTTTTGATTTCTAGCATTTCCTTGTGATTCTTAGAGTTTCTACCTCTGCTTACATGATCTGTCTGTTCTTGCATGTTGTCTAATTTTCCATTAGCATTCCCTTAACATATTAATCATAGTTGTTTTAAATTCTTTATCTGACAATTCCAAGCTCTGTATCATATCTGAGTCTTATTCTGATGCTTGCTTTGTCTCATCATACTATGCTTTTTCTTGTCTTTTAGCAGGGCTTGTAATGTTTTGTTGAAAGCTGGCCATGAGATGTCTGGTACTAGGAACTGAGGTAATCAGGCTTAGGGTGAGGTTTTATGTTAACCTGACTAAGAGCTGGGCTGTTAATGTTTGCTGCAGCTATAGGTGCCACAGGCTTCAGTTTCTTCTAGTTCCAGGCTGTTTTTTCTCCTATTGTCTTTGGGTTTCCCTAAGAATTCTTTCTTAAATAACTTCTTTGTCTTGCAGCTCTATAAACTCTAGTTATTATACCTGTTGACGTGTGTTATGGAGTTGGGGAGGGGAAGCATGCTATAGTCTTAAGATTAAAACCCAGCTGTTTCATTTTTGTAGTGGTTCTGAGTGCCTGTGCTGTGACCTTCTTAACTCCCCACCCCCATGTGATACAGAAATCTGCCCTTTACCCAGATCAGATAAGACTATGGTTAAGCAGTTTTCCTTGGGGGCATACCTTTGTTAGAGACAAAGATCTGGGTGTGTTTGGAAACGGTTACCCTTCCTCTGCCCCCTCCGGAAGCAAGAGGAGATTTCTGTCCTGTCTTCAGGGTGAGAACCCGCTAGGCTCCTGGAGATAAAACCCACACACATTTTATCTAGGAGTTTTAAACTCTCAACCCAGTCCACACTGAGCCTCCAGCAATCCATCAATTACTATCAGAAGGTTTCTGCCCATCATGGCTCCAGAGGCTCCCCCAGGAGGCTAATCATGTTGTGGTTCTGTTTTTTTCTCCTTTTTCTCCAGTTTTTGGGGGTGGGATTTGCCCTGTGAACTCAATTCTCTGATGGATCTAAGATTTGCAGTTTCTCCAGCTTGGTCTTCCTGTAAGGATGGAAATGATGCCTCCTAAGGTCTTTTTTTTTTTCTTTTCTTTTCTTTTAAAAATATTTATTTATTTGGCTGCACTAGTCTTCGTTGCGGCATGCGGTCTTCTTCTATTTTTTGTTAATTAATTAATTTTATTTATTTTTGGCTGCGTTGGGTCTTCGTTGCTGTGCGCAGGCTTTCTCTAGTTGCAGTGACGCGATTGTGGTGCGCAGGCCTCTCATTTCGATGGCCTCTCCTGCTGCAGAGCACGGACTCTAGGGCGCACGGGCTTCAGCAGTTGTGGCACGCAGGCCCAGCAGCTGTGGCTCGTGGGCTCTAGAGCACAGGCTCAGTAGTTGTGGCACTGTGGCTTAGTCGCTCCGCTGCATATGGGATCCTCCCGGACCAGGGCTTGAACCTGTGTCCCCTGCATTGGCAGGCGGATTCCCAACCACTGCGCCACCAGGGAAGCCCCATGCGGTCTTCTTAGTTGTGGCATGCAGACTCTTAGTTGTGGCACGCAGACTCTTAGTTGTGGCACGCGGGATCTAGTTCCCTGACTACAGGGATTGAACCTGGGCCCCTGCACTGGGAGCGCGGAGTCTTAGCCGCACTGGACCACCAGGGAAGTCCTCTCCTGAGGTCTCCACACATTGGAGTTGGAACTGAACGTCTGTGTGTATATATGTAATTTTTACAAAACACTTCATACATGTCATCCTAAACAGTTTTGGTTATTGTTATTTGCAAACTGACAGACTTCTGCCCTTGAGGCACTCACAGTTTGGAAGGGGGTGGCAGAGAGAGTCTGTCATTAATTTTGGAAAATTCTCAGCCATTCTTACTTCCAAAATCTCTTCTCCTCCTTCAGGGATTTCCATTACACATGTGTTACAACTTTTGTAATTGTCCCGCAGTTTTTGGATATTCTGTTCCCTTCTTTTTCCCATTCTTTTCTCTCTTTGCATGTTCAATTTGGGACATAAATAATGACATCAGTAAATAAATGATATAAATGGTGCGGAGCGCTGAGAAGTACCCCAAGAATGTTTACAGGGGAACCCGCCCCATCGAGGCGGAGGCCGGCTCAGCATAGCCAGCACTGCAGCAACAATGGTTCAGCTGGGGTCTGAAGCATGCTCGGGAAGAGAAGAGGGACAGAGAGGAAGGACAGAGGTGGACAAACGTGAGGAGGGAGGAGGCCCCGGCTTTTCCAGCTCTCCCTCCCCAATGCCTTGTCCTCTGTCCTTTACTACCTCCTTATTATTATTATTTTAATAAATTTATGTATTTATTTATTTTCATTTATTTATTTTTGGCTGCACTGGGTCTTCGCTGCTGCACGTGGGCTTTCTCTAGTTGCGGCGAGCAGGGGTTACTCTTCGTTGCGGTGCGCGGGCTTCTCATTGTGGTGTCTTCTCTTGTGGAGCACAGGCTCTAGGCACGCGGGCTTCAGTAGTTGCAGCACGCAGGCTCAGTAGCTGTGGTGCACGGGCTTAGTTGTTCCGCGACATGTGGGATCTTCCCGGACCAGGGCTCGAACCCGTGTCCCCTGCCTCGGCAGGCGGATTCTTAACCACTGCGCCACCAGGGAAGCCCTACTACCTCCTTGTTTAGTCATCCTCACCTTCAGCTTGCTTCCTCAGCTGTCCTGCGCTCACCTGGGCTGCTGATTCACAGTGGAGATGCTGTCTCCTCCGTGTGGAGCCAGTGCGGGGGTGGAGAGTGGGGTCTGACTACTCTCTTCCTCTCTTCTCTGAACAAAGCCCCTCGAGACCAATTAGTGATGCCCAGTCAGTGATGCTGGGAGTAGAAAGCTACCAGGAGAGCTCTGGTCCCCGGAGTTCTGCCACCACCAGCCTTGAGCAAGGCAGGTGAAGGTCAGAGCAGCACCCTGTTTGCTGCTGCGTGTTCTTGCGTGTGTTAAGCACTCTTCTTTGATAGCATATCTTGTGAGATAAGCATTTTTATCCCCACTTTACAGACAAGAAAATGAGGTGCGGGGAGGGGGTGTGTGTGTGTGCTCATTTGGCCCATCTCCAGGCAACTAGAAAGATACAGGGCTGGGATTCAAACCCAATGTCCTAACTTTAAGTCTGAGCTCCCTCCCCTTTACCCCCATCAGGGCTGGGCATGCCCAGTGTGAGAGGAGCCGTGCTCTCTGTGGCCTCAGCTGCCAGCATCTGCC